TTTGTCTAATGCAAAGGGGAAATATTAAAGGTCCTTGGCTTTCATGTATTTTACCCTCACACAACCTTTACTTTCCCCCATTACATATAGGCACCTGCAGCTGATTTTATTGGAGATTACCCTTCATGGTGAGTTACTTAGTGATGATTCTGAGCTACTTTACAGTTAGCATGGGGAAAGGATTGGGCTTTGGCCCAAGTCAAGGCCTATTCTCACCCCAGATGGTCTAGGGCTGAGTGAAGCCTGAGTCCTTCTTCCTGACATTGGCCATTTGTGGGGGGGGGGCCTTCCTGAACCCCTGGATAGCCAGAGACTGGAATGTGTTCATTCATTCATTCATTCATTCATTCAACACAATTTCTCTGCTGACTCTGTGCCTCAGTGTTGGTTGCTGTCTACATATCACAGGATCGCTGTCCAGGGCAGGTGTTTCTTGGCCTGTTCAGGCTTCCCTCCCACCGCCATTCTCCATGGGGAGGAGCAGATGGAGAGGAGCTTATGAGCATGTCAAAGTACAAGGTGAGACGGGGAGGGAGAACAGTCAAGAGGGCATGGGGAGGGGGATCAGCCAGCTCAGACCCCACTAGGTTTATGTTAGGGAAACTGGCAGATAAAGGACCCTTTCTCTGACCCCTGCTCCAGAAACTGAGCACGTGCCATCTCAGAGGTAGACACTGGAGGCATCCCAGCTCTCTGCTGCAGCCTCTTTCAAGTCTGGAAAACAGCAGGAGGCTGGCTGGCTACTTCAAGTTGTCAGCTGCCTCCCACAAGAGGCCTCTGGAAACCGATCAAGATTTTTACCTTCCCCTTCCAAGTTGCCTGGGTTCAAAGAGGCAACTTCATAAGAAACAATGATTAGGGGGGTTATAGTTCTTTGCTTTGTTATGCTGTTTTGCTATTTGAGAACAGAACCCCTCCCCGCTTATAACACAGGAAACATTTGCTGAGAGCCCACTTGTCAGGCTCTATGCTAGTCACGTTGTAACATTATTTTTAAAAAAATGTTCACCACAATTTAAGGGGTTGGTATTAGCATCCTTTAAAAAAAAAAGAAATGAGAAAGGTAAGTCTCAAAAAGGTAAGTAATATTCTCAGATTTATATATACAGCTAGTAAGACTTAAAGCAGTGACTGAATAAGCCTAATGCGTGAAACGTAAAAGAAAAGGTGAAATGGAGTTTATTCAGGGTGGGTGCTGATGTGTAAAATGGGAGAAGGTGGTGGGGTATTTATGAAACAGTTTCATCTAAAGATCAGGTTGAAAGTAACAGTCTTCCCAGCTCTGGGTTCTGAACAGTTACTACTCAAGGTTAGTGTGCAAAAGGAGGTACTAGAAAAGGTACATATAAAACAAGACAAAGGAGCTCATAGAGAGAAATGGGAAGGGTGGTTCCTTTAAAAAAAAACCACATTTAAAAAAAGTTGTGAATGTATATATATATTCTTTGAGAGAGAGAGAGAGAGAGAGAGAGAGAGAGAGAGAGAAGGGAAAAGTGACACTGAATAATAGAGTGTGAACCCAAAGTGCCTGCTCACATTCACAGACACTAACTAGGAGAAAATACCAACACTGAAGGAGACACAAGGATGCCATTTATGGATAAAAGCTATTTATGAGAATGAGAAGCCTCCCAGGGAGATTATTACTCTCGTTAGGTCCCTCCAGGAAGTAAATTAGGTGTTTGAGGAGGTATATGCAATTCTCTTAGATCTCTACATTACATGTACTGCGGTGATGATAATGATATGCTGCCTTTGGCTTCCAACTGGGGCTTTCTCATCTCCAGGAAATGAGCCCTCTCTGTGCAAGGTGCTGCGCTGGGGCTGCGAGAGAGACAAAGGCTCGGGTCATATTCTCCTTGCTCTTAAGGAGTTTGCAAGCCAGGGGTGACAACAGGGCACATGTGCAGATGTAGGTGCAAACTACAGCCCGGGATAGACGTGCCAGTAAATGCTATACAGGAATGGGGAACGGAGGTGCGGGACAGGAGATGCAGTTACTGGTGATTGGGAGCAGTTTTTAGAATGTTTCTATGTTTAAAGTTCTCTGAGTGCCTTTTCAGCGTCCTTGTCAGTTAATTACTTAGACTGCTCCTGAAATATGATTCAAAAAATAATTATAGCATGATAAAATTTTAGAGCTGAGAAAGAACCAATGAATGATCATTTTTTTACTAGTTTTTTACACATGATTATTGATTTCCCTTAAGGGTTCCTAATTATAATAATTAATAATATCTTGCAAGAACACCACGAGCTAGATATTAGTTAATAATATCTTGCAAGAACGCCATGAGTTAGGTACTATTATTATCTCCACTTTACAGATCAGAAAACTGAGCCGTGGAGAAAGTAGGTGCCCCGGATCACATATAGCAAAGGTCAGAGCTGGGAGCTAGGCTCCACCCCAGATGCAGCCAACTCAAACACTCATGCTCTTTCCTACTTGGAAATTAAGAATCCAACAGTCAGTTTTAATGTTTAAAAAGACATAATGGAAACTGTAATTTTTAAAAAAGCTGTTCATGGTTATTAATGCTATGTGTATTTGCCCTCACTCAGTTGGCAATAGGGTAATCTCACACAAGTTAGAAGCACAGGTTAGCAATGAGAAATATCTCTTTTTAAAATTAAAATGTTAAATAATAAGTGCCCTTTCAAAACAGAGTATCGCCTTGGTGGGGAACCAGTATTTTATTCCAAGCGTTTCATTTCCAGACCTTGGAGAATTAGGTCAGTTACTCTGAAGACCTACATTTGGGAGCCAAGAGGATGGAGGGGTGTTGTAGCCGTTCATAGAAAAGTGAGTTGGGGAACTCACTAATCTTCAACAAATAAACCAATTCAGCTCGCCAAGAATTTCTTATAGATCCAATTCATATTTGAGGTGCATGGAACACCATTTCTTTCTTCCTTAATAGTGAAAAGTAGAATCAAATGAAGAGTAAATCTTAATATTGAATCCTATCAACTTTACTAAAAAATATCCCCTTGTGTTAAAAAAAAAGAGAAATTCTAACCCTAAGGCATCATTATTATTTAAATATATGGAAGTTGGCAGCTTGCTGAGATGAGAACACATAATGTAGAGTATACTAGCAAGAAAAGGACATTCTTTCTATTTATGATGCTCTGGAACTTACTCCTGTCAGGAAAAAAAAAAAAAGATATAAGTGTCTGAAAAGGCAAAGAAGGAAGGCAAAAGACAAAGAAGGAAGGCAAATAGGCCGCACTGGTCTATCTATGTTTGGGCACCAAACACTCTGACCATGAATGTTGACAAGAATTCCTCCTGCTTCTTCCTGTCTGATCTGATGTCCTCCACGGTTAAGGTTGTTCATCACTACTCAGTGGCTACCAGCTAGACTGAGGAGTCTAGGTGCCACGACAAGGACAAGTGTCTTCACATCTTGGTATCTAGCCTCCAGTGCTGAGAAAAGAGAGCATGGAAAGGGTTAAGGGCTCAGTGAGTGATGGCTGGTTAGGGGAAGAAGGCATAAAGAGCAAACATATCCCAGAACGGTTCAGGTTGTTAGTGTAGTTTTATATCCATAAAGTTTGATACCAGTTCAGCAAGAAGTATCTACTTGAACTTTAGAAATGAGCACCTCTATGATGTGTAAGCTGCATGGCATCTTCTGGAAGGGCAATACAAGTTCAGGAGCAGAGTAGAGGAGGAGACAGGACTTTCCATGTTCCCTTGGCTTAAAGAGGGTGTCGATGGAGGAGAGGGGCAAGAAATCAGGTGTGTAAGTGGTGGTGGGCGGTGGAAACCCTGCATGTGTGAGAGTGGACAGGAGAGGTTACCAGACCCAGGGTCTACTGGGAAATGTGTGTTGTGCTGGCCAAGTAACCAGTTTATGAAACACAGAAAAACCAGGCCCAGGAATTTATTCTCCATAGAGCAGGAAATCTCTTGTGTCTCACCCTCTGTTCCTCCCTCCAGGTTAAGTATAAGCATAAGTATATCCTCACTAAGAGAGAACAAACATTGCAATTTAATATGTGTACCATCTAAATCAAATGTCTCTTTTAGGCTTTTGAAATGCAAACGGTGGGCTTGTTTTCACATTCACTGATTTATTCAGGCCACAAAAGTTTATGGAGGACCTACTAGAGCTAGAATTTTGTTAGGCACCACGGGGGGTGCAAAGATGAATAAAACTCGGTCCCTATCCCCCAGGAGTTTAGGCTCCGCGGTGGAGACAAACGCCCTTACAAGTCCTTTACAATAGGAGCTAAGAATGTAAACAGGAACTGTAGGGGCTCAGTTCCCGGGGATGTTACAAAGATGGTTTGGAAAATTAGCAAGGTTCTTCAGGCGAGTTGATTTTTAAAGGATTAAAACTCTGATGGACTTTAAAAAACAAATTTTTTTTTAAATGCAAGCACTAGGCTCAAGGCTCTGGAAACACAGGGAGTGGGGTATCATGTAAGGAACAGCGGTCTGATTTGGCTGGAGCACAGGGTTCCTCAAGGGGTGCCGTGGGGGGGGGGGTGTGTGGAATTTAGCTGGGTATGTGCCTAATAACCGAGGCTGGGCTCAGGCATTAGGGAGCCGAGCCGAGACATTATTCCACATCTCTGTTCTTTGATTTAAACATTGTTGGGGTTCCTTTAAAAAAAAAATTCTCCTCCTCTTTCCTAAAGAGAGTTCTAGCAGTTGGGGGGTGGGGACCATTTCCTAAAGTCAACGCCTTAGTTAAAGGTCTGCAAAGCTATCCACGAGTGGTTTAAATCTCGAACCAGACAAGAAAGCGTGTAAGAGGCGGGGTAGGGGGAACCCACTTAACAGCAACATCAACCCCCAAACGACACGGGCCCCGGGCGGGACAAGCTGCCGGCCTGACTCGGGAGCTCGGAGCCCCGCACAGGCGGGCAAGGGGGTGAGGAAGAGAGGGAGGTAGGGAGGGAGGGAGGAAGCGCGAGAGGGAGGGAGGAAGAAAGGGAGGGAGGCGGTGTCATGTGATCCGCTTCCCTGCTCCTTTAAGCGTCCACAGGCGGCGGAGCGGCCACAATCACAGCTCCGGGCATTGGGGGAGCGCGAGCGGCTGCGCCGGGGGAATCCGTGCGGGCGCCTGCCGTCCCGGTCCCATCCTCGCCGCGATCCCACACCCCTGAAGTTTTGCAGCGCCCAGAAAGGAGGCGAGGGAGGCGGGGGGGAGCGTGAGAGGAGAGCGAGCAAAAGCACACCCTAACACATTTTATTTCCAAAAGAAAAGGAAAAAGGGGGGCGCAAAAATGGCTGGGGCAATTATAGAAAATATGAGCACCAAGAAGCTGTGCATTGTTGGTGGGATTCTGCTCGTGTTCCAAATCATCGCCTTTCTGGTGGGAGGCTTGATTGGTAAGTGCCAGAGCTGCAAACTTTTCCCCCTTTCTCTCTTTTCGGGCCCCTTCCCTCTTTGCCTCTCGGGCTACTTGTTACAGTATCACTGTCTTGCTTCTATGATCTAATTAGTCCGGCTATTGTGCTTAAGAAAGCAGAGCTCCATGGGGCTCCGTGGGGCACAATCCAGTCTAGTGGCTAAGAGAAAAGGAGGGGAAAAAGTTTTGGCCTAGTTTCAGTATCCACTTGAAAGGAAGGAGGGGGGCGGCGGGGGTGGGAATCTTAAGCATGGCGCCGGATCGCGGGCGGGAGCGCTGGGTTACAAAGTTGATTGCTGCTCCCCCCACCCCCGCTTTTTCCCGCGCTCCCCCCACCCCCTTTCCCCTCCTTTTCCTCCCATTCAGCTCCGGAGGGCAGCGTAATAGACTTTATTAGGAACAACAGAAGAGTCGGGGCACTGCGCCCCGTGCAAACCCGGAGCCCAGTTACAGGGTTGTGCTGGTTGCCTGTGGAAATGCATTTGGTCTTCGCAGCCAGGGGGGTGAGCGTTTGTATTTTGGGTCCCCACCTCCGCCCCCTCTGCTCCCTCGCCGCACCCTCTCCCGCCCTCCGCCGTTGCAGTCAGAAGGTCCGAGCGGCGGGCTGGGAGGCAGGATGGGGTGGGGTGCGGTGGGAGAAAGTCCTTGGCTGGCGCCGGTGGAAGTTGGAGAGGTCGGAGGGGAACCGCGTATCCGAAAGGTGTTGCTTTTGGCCCGGCGCCCTCTTTCGAATCTGCCCTCCCCCACTTCTCAGAGCCCCGAGAGCGGGGGAGTCTGCAGCCCGCGGTCCCACCTTGGCGGGTGGGAAGCTCCCCGCCACCGCCGCAGCCCCGCGCAGGTGACAGCTCCCGGCCCCGGCGACGAAGGCGCCCGCCCTGGAGACCTCTCCCGGTGCGCGCAGCCCGGACCTCTCAGAGCCAAAGAGGCTTCCTGCTGAAGAAGAAGGTCTCAAGGACCTTCCACTCGAAAAACTACCCCCCCCCTTTTTTCTTTTGCTGTCTCTTCGTCTTCATCCATCTTCCCGCCTCTCCACACTCTCCTGTCCTCTTCCCCCACGAGATTTAGGACATCCCGGCACAAACTTCCGCGCCAACTTTGCCGCCTGCGCGGATGGGAGATTTTGCTTCCTTCTGGGATTTGTAAAACTTTGTGGAGTGGGAAGTCCACGGAGGGGCTTTCTCCCCGCTTCCCTTTGCCAAGAGTCTGCACAGAACGGGCGTCGTAGTCGTCTTGGGAATGAGAGCTCGGGCGCTTTGAGTCGTAGGCTTGGCGTTTTGTTTCCATACCTGGGTTTGATGGGAACAAATCAAAGGGAGTCTGGTTCTGTAAATCACTGTAACATCCAAGATAATTGTTTAAACAAAGGGGCGCGGGCAAAGCTTCACTGAGGAGAGAAATTGCTGGAGGAGATCATACCTTTCTCGCTGTATGTAAGCAGAAAGGGGTTCAGAGTTTTCCAAGCTCGTATTTCCAATTTGGGCCAAACAGCTTAATCTTGTTATTCTTGGAACACCCCTTCCCCCAAACACACACACACACACACAATCTCTCTCTCTCTCTCTCTCTCTCTCTCCCTCTCTCTCTCTCTCTCTCTCTCTCTCTCTCTCTCTCGTTGAGCTTTCCTGTTATGAGCTCCTGTTTAGCTATGTGCAATCTCTCTGTTTCCTTGTATTGGATTTTTCGAGGCTCTTAATACATTCTCTGCTGGGAGCTGAAGGCAGCCTTTCCCTGTGCCCTCACAGTGATTATGCAGCGGTTACAATTACACCTCTTGTCTCCCTTGATGAGCAGTTGCAGTTAGATGCCATTGGATCTTGTGTGATTTCAGTGGCAGACCATAATTAAAATTTCTTGCACCTTGTGCTTTCAGAATTAAATTGGCCTATTATCCCTGTCTGACCTTCATCCTCTTTGAGGTTTTTGCACAGGCAGTGAACCATTACACATAGTTGTCTGGTGTTTGTTGGTGCACGTTTCTTTTTCTAAAGCTGATACTAACCTTGAAGAGCCCATCACCCACTGTTTTAGGTTTCTGAGGGCACTGATGGAATTAGTATAGTTTCTGGAGTCTTAGGACCAGGGAGATGGTTCCAGGACACTGGTGGGTGACGGCTGGACATTAAAGTTGCAGTAGAATCGGAACAGTTGCACGTTCAAAGAGGGGTTTGTCTAGATCAGTGGGGCCAAGGGCTGTTTTCCCCAGAGAACTTGGTTAGTGACCATACTTGGTAACAGTCTCAAAAAGTTTAGTGGTAGGTTCTAACTCTAATTAGATTCTCTTCAACAAATAAATGGCTTTCTCTCCAACTTTCCCTGAAAAAGAAAATAATTATGTTTAACACTTCTTGGGGGAAATTGTTGTGAGTTCACTGTTTAGCTTCCTTCCTTCCTCAGTTGTCACAGCTGTGTCCCCAGTTCTGGCTGGAAGACTGAAAAGATCAGATCCAGTCCATGTTAAGTACTTTGAACAGCGACTTAGCCTTTTTCTCGTCCATTTAGAGATTTTATTTATTTAGTTAGCTAGTTATTTATTACTGCTAAAGAAATCTAGGAACTTGGGTATACTACAAGACCCAAACATGGGAAATAAATATCAACAAATGGTAAATATGTTTTTCCACCAAACTTCCCTAAATTGGAAAGCAGGGGAAACCAATCGGAGAACAGAACTTCAACAAAGTGGGCCTGTGGAATCAATAGATGAAGGAGCATTTGTAAGCTGGAAGTTCACAAACTTCCTTCTCACTCTCCCCACTGAGCAAAGAACCTCACTTCTCAGTTCCACTGATGTTAGAAGTCAGGTGTCCTGGGTGGGACGTGTCTATCTAATCCTCAGAGGCCAAGGGAAAACGTGAAATTTTAGCGGTGAATTGGCCATAATATATGTTCCTTTTTGATCACTGTTGTCCCAGATGAAAGGAAACATGGCGACTTAGAAAGAGGAGGATCCGAATGGCAAAGCTCCTGGTTATCAGGATATAAGTACTACATACACATATACACAAAACAAAAACAAACACCTAAAACAGCAATGGCAAGCCATACATCCCAAAGTGACCGGGCAAATCAATGAACCAACAGGCTTCAGTTTCCTCATTGTTAGGTTAATGAGTTTAAGGATTCTTCCAGTTACAAAATTGTATGAATTTTTCCGTACTTTGAGAGATTTGGGTGGCATTTAGACTGGTGTTTGATTGCAGCCTTCTAAAATTGATGGGGACACTTTAAACATTAAATAAAAAAGCAAATAGAGATTGGGTTTTGTTTAGCCAGCTTAAACACTCCCCTTCCCCAAGTTTGTGTGTGTGTTCGGGTGTGTGCACTTATTTATTTATTTTTTCTTGTGCCAGTGTCTGTGTACTGCTAGATCTTCAATGGGATTTTGCAAAAAGGCTCTGGAAAGCAATATGTATGTGGCAGAATTTGGGGTATTTAAAAATTCACTAAATTATGCTGTGCTTTTGTAAAAACTGAGCCATTATAAAATCTTCCCTCTGATTGTCTTCTTATGTATTGAAAAGGTTTAAGTGGCTACCTTCTTTAGTATTTAGAACTCATTTAAAAATTTAAGAACCCCCTGAAGTAAAATAAAAATTTTAGAGACATAGCTTAATCTTTATCCTCCTTAAAAATAAGCCTGCAGAAAATTTTTTTAAAATAAGTTTCCTTTGATTTCATGGAAAGACAGGCAGCTGCAGGGGTGAAGGGGGTGGGGAGAAAACCATGTGCCCTGAAACACGAGTGCAGCCACTAAAAATCGTGAACTTGAATCCCTGGCCCATTATGTGTAATTTGCTCAGCTTCTAATTAGTCATGTCTGGGGGATATAATGGTTGAAAAAGCAGGTCACTGTTCCCACCTGTTCTAAAACTGTTAAGAGTATGGAGATGAGGACTGGATGAATAGAAAATTATTTCATTGCTTTAAGCATACACAGAAATGAGAATATTTCAGACTTAAACTACAAATAAGTATCAACAAATTACCAAAAATTGTTTCTTTAGGAAGCATTGCTCTTTCAAAAGCTCATTATGTGAGCATATTAATGCTGAGACTATTATGTGTGTATATATATGCATATATGTGTGTGCGTATATTTATGTGTGTATGCATATATATAATCAGTTTTCTTAATTTTTACATGGACTTATGTACTACCTTTCAATGATATAGCCAATACTATTGTGCTATTACTGTTTAAGAGGGAACTATTGGTGGTCTTGATTGTGGTTTAGTCTCGTGAGTTTTTGTTTTTGTGACTCATTTATTTAGAAGTTACAGGATTTTAAGAAATTAAATACAATTACAGTTATGCAGAGTACATAAGAGTTTGTTTCCCAATACATTAGGTTTTAAGCTTGTTGTGGTATTTATTTTATTTCAGCATATGTTAATAATGCAGCACTTTTAATCCTGCAGTGTTTCTCTATCTGGTGAGAATCTTGAAAAGAACTAATTATTTGGCCTTTGGTAAATGTTAGCCCACATTTTTCTGTATTTGATTCTCCCTTTTAGTTTATAAAATTTTATATTTGACTAAATAATGTCCTTTTCCCCTCTTTGTTAACTACTAGAGTATCTACTGTGGTTTATAGGAGCACTCTGCAACTTCAAAAATTTTTGTAATTGAAATTACATTATTGACTTAAGAAAGCTAAACTACCTACTTGGTTATTGCAACAAAATCATGCTTGTGCTAACAGTCTCTAATCATGCTTTCATCTGACTGTTCAGAGAAGCCTGTTTCGCTTTCTACTGGAACGTTCCCATTTCCCTATTAAAGGTGAGAAATATTTCCTTCAGATAATAGTGCGACGTGTGGCTTTGTAAGGTGTTCAAGTCCGCTGCCTGGAACCCATATCTAGACTCAAAGCCTTTCCTACCTAGTTGAAATTTTGCAATCACTTGGCCTTTAAAATTTTTAAAAATCCATATATACTGAGAAAATATTCTTACCTTATCTTCCTCATAAAAGTGTTT